TTAACGATAAATCATATGGTAAACAGCTGAAAATGTTCTTTCTTTGAGCCACAAACATGATAATTTTCTTTATAAGAATCTCATTTCAAATAAAAACTTACCAAGAGAAATAAAATTCCATTTTTAATCCAAATAATCATTCAAGAAATTGACAGCTTGCATTTTATCCATGTTACACCAAACCAAAAAATTTGATAAGATATTTCAACTACTGTGCATTTCACAAAAAAATTATGGAAAATAATATGATTATATTATTTTGCCCTTTCTTACCATCGAATAATATTCTATTCCTGTCGTCATTGGCAGCACGATCCATCTCACTGGTTTTCTTCCTAGACTTGGGGAACTTTCTCGAACTCAACAGGCGGAATTGCTCGTATCCGATCAGCAATACTCCTCCTTTCGTCCTCCATTCATGTATCACTTTTGCTCTGGCCACAAGTGTTTTATGGCTGTCATTCAACACGAGCAATTCAAAATTCCTAGGCCGAACCTCACCATCTGCGTTTAGAGGACTGTTCGCAGCAACCTCTGCCTTCGGCAACCACATGTTGAACTCTGCCATCCAGTTCTGCAAAGTATTTATCGGCATGATGCACAAGATAGTCCTGGCAGGAGTATGGCGTAAGAAAATGTCGGAGAAAGTAACGATCTGCAGGGTCTTCCCAAGACCCATGCTATGAGCGAGTATGCAGCCAAAACCTGAAGAAGACTCGAACCGGCTGGTACTCTCTACAACGTTGTCGTACAAAAACCTCACTCCACCTATCTGATGCGGTTTTATGATTCTAGAAATTTGAGGAGCGACGAACACATCAGGTTCTCCGTCAGGATGGCCGACATTCACTAAAACTCGACCTTTCTCGTCGGGTTGATTGAACTGGTCATTGGTGTGCATTCCCGAGTTGCCCGGATCATCGTCTGGTTCGTCTTCATCGCCCTCTGGTTCAGAAACGACTATACAGTCATCATCTGATGATATGTCGATTGTCGGTGGAACTGGAGGCTTACCTGTTTGAAAACAAGAGTATAAAATATTATTTCTGTTCAACCAATACTTATTTCTTGAATAATTTCGCAGGAAACTATCAGTTCCCTGTGTCCCCAGTTTAATAACTCGATTTGACATATTTGGACTTTTCTATAAGGAAAATAATAAAATAAAATGTATGTGACTCTTATACACTTGAGACATTGGCAACAAAAAATTGTACCCAAAGCTCTCATTCACTAATTATGGAAATTAGAAAAACTATGTATAAATCTTGAAAATAAATGAATAATTGCATGGAGGCCATCTATAAGGGCATTCAGCATTTGAAAAAATTTGGTTCAAACCAAAATATTTTCTCCTTTCAAGTTGAACCCCCTCATATTTCAAAACACTGAAAAATAATGAAAAACTACTTCATATATTTTTACCCCAAATGTATGCATTTTTGTGCCTTTTATCTCTATAATGAATAAACATTTTTCTATGATTTTTGTTGAGAAGTTATTTTTGATATGTGGTCAATGTCTCCTAAAAAAAAAAATAAATACTTTTCGAGATTGCGTTTTTACAGTAACAAATAAAAAGTCGCCAACATAAGGGATTTTTTATAGAAATAACCAAACATGAAATTACACTAGAAAGGGTATATTTTTAGGAGAGATTATTTTTGGGAAAGAAAGGTTTTATCGTTCTACTTCTCCATCTTGATACAAACAAATATGTGGAAATATTCCAAATAAAAGAAGGAAGCAATTAAATTCANTACTGAATATAACAAACACTTTTGTTTTGAAAGTATATTTTTTTCGTGTAATTCAATGTTTATATGAAAGAAGCTGTTTTGAGGCGGCTTTTCCTTAAAGTTTGTGTCTGAAAGTTACTTCTTGATAAATTGACTCATCACCGATGATTATTCATCGGTTAATCATCAAGATGAATAAACATCTGAAAAGGCCAGCCACTCGTGCAGGCAAAACGTTAGTATGCAGTTCCAAACTACGACGACCTTCAAACCCGAATGAAGATAGTAACACTGAAGTTAGTTCTTGAATGATCTACACATCTTTGTATAGAGTTACTTTTTTTAATTTGATTGCTTCCTACCTTTCTTTGGAAGATTCCCACATTTTTTTTGCAACAAGACAGAGAAGCAGAAAGACAAAAACATTCTTTCCCATGAAATTAGACTTTGGCAATGGGTTTCATTTTGAATGAAACCAATAATAACATTAACACTCATCATTGTCATTCGTTATGTCATTCGACATTAACACGAAAAAATATCAAAACTAATAAAGGAAGAAATTGACTGTCTTGGTTGTATCCCTACTACGCTGATGTTTGTTAATACTCCAACCATATTACAGGTGATCACTCGATTGATTTCAGTGTAATCCTGATGATGGACTGCAAGGATTAGAATTTCCTCCGTGAGGAAACTTGCACAAATGTCTGTCTGTCTATCGAGAAATTGTTATGTTCCTACAAGTGTTTATCAGATCTAACTGAGTAGGAACGTTGAGAGAGGTGAATGTTTCGAATTTTAGTTTGAAATATCTACTGTTTTAATTTCTCTCCCCAACATTCATTTATTTTTATATATTAGTTTGTTAGATCCGCCCTGCACTGACAAAGGGCAATACTCCGAAAACAGTGATCACTCGATCGATTTGGGAAATGTTCTGTTGCTTAACAAACCAAAAGCAACTGCAGTACTCATCTGTAGACCTGTGTAGAGGTAATGAAAAGGGCGTTATTATAAATAGTACTCACCCTTAGGCCTGTGTATAGGTGGTGAAAAAGGCATTTTTCTATCTTCGTTCTCGCTGTCACTATCGCTGTGACGATGAGCGATGGGCGGCATGAATTTCTTCGTGACAGGAGCTATACTAACAGAAGGTGTCAAATCAGCGCCAGGTAAGTGAGCAGGTATCGGTCCGTATCCTGGTTTTTTCGTGACTAAAAGACTTCTGTTACTCCTCGGTGCACCCATTGGAGGTAGACTCGGGCCAGCATTTTTTGGCATTCTTAGCAATTCGAACGGACGTTTCGGCATACGTGTCATCGGTTTGGTTTGTCCATTTGGCAATTTCACTAGAACAGTATTGCCTATTCTCGTTTGTGTTGATGGACCTGAAAGGGAGAGTATGGCAGTTTCAGTTGTGAGTTGGTGTGATAAAAATATCTTTAATAACAAAAATTATGATTAAAAATCATAAAAAATTATGTGAATTTTTCCAAACCGTCTTCCTATTTCAGGAAAATTTAAAACAGAAAACCTTAGATCACCACAGAAACTGAAATTACTTCGAAAAACATGAGATCCCTTCATTATGTGAGGAAATACTTGAACAATATTGCTTTTGAAACATATTTCAATACAGTACAGAGTAATCTTTAGATGCGACACCTGAAAGGCAAAAGATGTGTATTACAAAGACATAATGAATTATGCTGCTAATAAAGTGAAAGAAACATGGAATATTGTCAATGAATTGAGGTGGAAGGAAACAAAAAATTTGCAGATACCTCCCTACATCTCAACACTATTGACGACTTTTAATGTTCCATGACTGAGAAATCAAGTGAGAGCTTGAAATCTATACGAGATCCATTAAAGTATATTCAAACGGTAACTATTAACAAACCATACAGTTTTTTAACACCAATGTAAAAGAACTGAACAGAGTCATTATAAGAAACAAAAAATACATCTGGAACTGACAATCTGTCGATCAAAATTTCTGAAAACTTGACTCATAAACTAAACTTTCAGACACGGAATATTTCCACTATTCCTCAAAACATGTATGGTCATACCTTTGTCTAAAGGGGGTAATTTTAATGATCCATCAAATCTAAGACAAATATCTTTACAACCAACTCTAGCAAAGTTAGTTGAAAAATTTGTTCAAATAAAACTCAATGATCATCTAAATATAAACAAAATAATCAATCCTCATCAATTTGGGTTTCAAAAAAACAAAATCACTAATGATGCAATATTTAATTTTCTCCATAAAGCATATAGCACCTTGGATATTGGTGAGGCAACTGCAGCAGTGTTCTGTGACTGGTCAAAAACTTTTGATTGTGTCAACCACAGAATACTGTTGCGGAAGCTACATCATTATGGAGTTGCTAAAAACTGCCTGAAATGGTTTGAATCCTACCTTACAGGACGTAGACAATTTATAAAAACCGCTAGTTATTCAAATGGCCCTGATGGAATACCTGATTATGTTCTGAAAATTTGTGTTTAAACTTTGACATACCATACATTCCTTAATTTTAAAAATGTTCATTAGATATGGGTATTGTTCCAGAAGTTTGGAAACATAATTATATTCGCCCTATATTCAAATCAGGAAAGAAACAACATATACAAAATTACCGTAGTGTATGTAATCAAAGTTCCCTCCCTAAATTCCCTCCAATTCTTCTAAGAACCCTAGAATATGATTTTAGTTTTCATCCTACATGATAAAATGTTTCAGTTCATATCTATCTATTCGAAAACAAAGTGTGATAGTGGAATGGCGTAAGTCCAGTCCATTTATTGNTCTCCGACCAAAGTCTATCGTAGTTAGAGAGTTTCCTAATTGGCCGTATTCAGCAAGTCAAGATAGGGTATGCTACATCTCATATAACTCAGGTTCCATCAGGGGCTCCTGTTTAACTTTTTTGTTGATGATATAGCCGAATGTTTTGAGAACACAGATTTTTTTAATATTTGCTGATGACTCAAAGCTCGTCAGACCAATAAGATCATTGGAGGATGCTAAACTAATTCAACAAGATGTGAACAACTTGGTTTGATGGTGTAATGAAAACAATTTGCATATGAACATTGATAAATGTAGTTATATCAGTTTTACAAATCAAATAAGAAATTTCACACTTCATACTCTATCAAAGAAAACCAATTATCATATGATAAGACTTCAGTTAAGTACCTAGGTGTTAAATTGATGAGCAGGTTAGGTTTGCAGAACAAGTAAATTATATTGCAGTTACACTTCAAAACTATTAGGTTTCACTTTACGGAACTGTAATAACTTATCTGTTAGATCCAAAAGAACAATTTACTTTGCATTCATAATCTCTCAGATAGAATGTAAATCAATTATGTAGTCACCATTTTATGGTAATCGCACTACATAAGAAGGGTTCAGAATTAATTCTTAAGATTTCATGCATATAAAATGAAATGAGTGAAAATACTGTTGAGAAGGGTAACCCTGTTCAAAGAATTGATGTTAAAAGAGAAAGTCGACAAGGTTATACAAATCATTTCTAAATTGGGAGAGTCTTATGAGAAAACAGAATTCTCGAAGAGGCATTGCTACAATGCAGAAAGCTGCAGACAGACTGTTGGAAACAACCAAGGTCTCACCTTATCACAGAATAAATCAACCAAACAAAGAAAAGGACAGCATCAAAACCCTCCAATGAAAAATGGACAGATGAAAGTGTGCATTCTAGGATGAAATTTGAAATGGATTTCATTAACGAGATAAGTAGAGCAGCAATTTGACAACCAGTATATGCTACACAAACATAACATCAGATTCAGAGAGACTAGACTCATGGACAATAGGTTAAATATAAAAAAAAAACAGAAGCAACATGATCTGAAAACGGTTCAAAGCTGGCTCAGGAAGGAGTTCGAACCTAAGCAGGACCAAATCTCTTCAAGTTTGGGGTAGCAGGTAAGGCTTACTGAGCTCAGTGGTATTCCCTATTCCTCCACGATGGCCTATCGTATGGCAAACTGAAGAGCCCAGAGGAGACAACAGAAATAAGCCAGCTAGTCGTACCAAGATGGTGCAAATGATGCCCCATTTTGCATATCAATAAATGGACCTGCAAGCAGTTCATCAGAGAGACCAGAGAAAAAACTGCTTCAGATTACAAGTGACGAAGAGACTCGACTCAAAAGCCAAAGACACAAGATAAACGACTTGTTCTATCATATCCAGTTAACAACAGCAAAAGTCACATCAAAAAACTGGGCAGATATTCTTGTTTCATTCGTTGTTCGTAATATATGCACAGATGACGTCACATCAAACGATATCTGAGAAATTTGTAATCTTGAAGCATGAAAGCATTTCCAAAATCTGTGATTTGAACTGAAGAATACAGATTTAGAGACACAAATGATTTGCCGAACTTGATATACATACACGGGCTCCCTACGTGGTAGTTGGTAGTAAGTTTTTTATCATTTCATAAATATGTCATATTTGGAAAGTATATCCTTTTTTTCACTGGTATTCAGTTTAGTATTTCTAACGTCAAATAATATCTGAATGAAGTCTTACCCTTTATTCAAGGGATCATCATGATGATTGGATATTTATTTTTGAAATATCCCTGATGATTATTTTGCTTCACCCTTTTTCTAGAAGATTTTCCTCAAGTAATATATTGGACAGTTTGCATTTAAGAGATATTTGTCTTTTTTATTGTTCAGTGTTAAGAGATTTGCATTACACCAGTTCTCGACTTTCATTAGATCAATGTTAATTTTTTATCTGAGTCTTTCGGGATCTATATCGTGCCAAAACAGAGTTGTATAGTCCGCGGAGAGAGTAAAATTTCCAAAGATATCTAGTCAGGTGATGTCGTTCATATACAGTAAAAACAGTATGGGGCCTAACCGAAACTTGGGGAACATCTGATTTTATATTATTTAATTTGGACGATGTTGTAAATTTTTTGAACTGTTCAAAAAAAAACAAATGATCAAAGTTCTGTGTGCGCTTGAACCATAATACAGGATTTTCTGCAATCTGATATAAGTCTATAAATAACCTAAACATAATAATATAGTTCTCAGTATTCTGAAGTATTACTATTATTTAATGTTAGAAATGTTAAAGTGAATACCAATTGAAAAACGGATTTACTTTCTAAGTATGACATATTTATAAAATGGTAAATAAACTATTACCTCTCTGGAGGAGATTTCACATCACAAAATTGCAAAATGACAAATTATGCGGATGACACAAACTTGCTGGACAAGGCAGTAGACTATCCCGGTCTGATATCCATAACAGAAGAAAGCCTCTGTAAGGTAGATGGGTGGTTCAGGAGAAATATACTTATATTGAATGACAATAAGACCAAAACTGTAATGTTCAAAACAAACCATGCAGGATTTGACTCACCTCAAGAAATTCTTCTGACGAATATTTCACTCAAAATAGAAAATAAGTGCAAATTCTTAGGACTGCACATAGACAGCACACTGAGTTTCAACAGTCATATTCAAAATGTTTGTCAAAAGTTGAACTCAGTGTTGTATTCAATGAGAGTTATTGGTCAGTATGTTGACAAAGATGCAATTCGAATGGTCTATCATTCAAATTTTCAATCTGTTTGTAGTTATGGGATTATTTTTTATGGAGGTAGTAGAAATGCAGAGCAAATTTTTATTGTACAAAAAAGAGTCTTATGAACTATGCTGAAACTAAACTCAGGAAAATCATGTAGAGGCAAATTCAGTAGTTTTAAAATACTCACACATATAGGAGTCTATATACAGGAACTCTTGTTAGTCCTTTTTAAAAACAAACATCTTTTTGAAAATAGTCTACCACACTAGAAATTTTGACTATGTATACCCAAAACATAGACTAACTGTTACAAAAAGGAGCCCGTTCTATCAAAGCATGAAAATGTTCAACAAACTCCCCACCAGCATCAAACAAATTAATAAACTTGGTGAATTCAAAAAGGGAATTCATAAGATTCTACTGAATATAAAACCCTATACTATTGCTGAATACCTCAGCCATACTGTCTAACATAATTTATCTGACTGGTGATGTTATTTCTGTTTTTATATCCTTTTGCGATATTTTTCAGAAATGAAGATATTTATTATTATTAGTATTATAATCAAATCCATAAATAGTACAGGTGTTTAAGTGGGAAAGTGAGTGATTGTGTAAGTGTGTGAGTGAGTGTGAGTGTGTGAGTGTATGAGTGAGTATGACGTGAGTGAGTATGAGTGTGTGAGTGAGTGAGTGTGAGTATAAGTGAGTGGGTGTGTGAGTGAGTGTGAGGAAGTGAATATGAGTGGGGGAGTGAGTGTGAGTGTGTTTAAAGTCAGTGACATCTGTAATTGTTGTTCAATTATTCAAATATTTGTCCTGCTGAATTGTTTTCTTAAAAAAAACATGTAGATTACCTAAAATACACAGTTTGACTCGCGGATGTAATTGATAAGTCAGACAAATTTCAAAGCCCTTTGCAAAATCACAAAAAAAAAAGATATTTCTTTGGTGGTTATCTATCTATACTTTTTAGGAAAACGGTTTTAAATTATTTCATTCACTAAAGCTTTATAGATTCATTTCAACAGCCTTACCTGGTTTCGAAAATTGATTTCCTTGCAACATTGAAATCACCTTGTGTTGCATTCTTTCTTGTTGAGTTTTGAGAATTTTTTGATTGATTCGCTGCTGTTCTTGAACCCTACGCAAACGCTCAGCTTCCAGCTTCTGAGCTGCCAATGTAGACTCATCCAATTTTGTTTCGTCCATAACTTCCCGAATGTTTCGCCTGAGGGCAATGCCCTTAGGCAGCCCAGGTATATCTTCAACATCACCTGTGGACAACAAGACAACAAGATTATTTTCAAAACAGAAAGAGGATGACAGTGTTCCATGTAAGTGAAATTTCACCTCCGTCATACACTATATTGTGTAGCAACCCTGTTAATAATATCTGTTTCAATTCCATAACGAAAGTTTGGAGTACAAATTGAATAGCAAAAGAGTTTTTGTATAATTCAATGTTCATATAACAAGACAACAAGATTATTTTCAAAACAGAAAGAAACTCAACTTTATTTTGTTCAAACTTGCATTTGCTGTAATAACCCAAATTGAGGAACATTCCCCATTAGATCATGATTTATACTTGAACAACATTTTCAAAGATTCCCTTTATAGGAAGATGTTTAGAAAGTAACAAGAGTTTTTGTTTAAAAAAATGTATTCATTCGTCTAGAGTAATGTTGCAGCCTTCAAAATAGTTTTACTTATTTATTTATCCACCAATCTAATGGGCAGCACCCAAAATACAAACATGTTTTTACAAAGGTGTACATGAATACTTATGATTAAGAACAAGATTGAGATTAAAATTAGTCTTAGGAATTGATATTGAACCTAACGATTATGAATGAGTGTAATTTAAAAAAATATCATTTAACCAAGTTCATATTTAGTATAGAGTATAGACACTTCTACTATACTGAAGAATAATAGATCATGACTTGATAGCGCCCTCATCGCTCTTCATATGTAGACGATAAGTAAAAAATCCAGCTAATGGAAACTATATAGTCAATACATTTTTGAAGTCATTGTAATGTTGAATATTATTTTCAGGTGCCTTTACTGTCATTCTTTTAATGCATCATTCATATGCTAAATGATGAAAGCTCTTAGGTAACAGAAAGTCATATACTACTGATATTTTCAAATTCTTGGCATGAACAGATTAATTTATTCAAATATTTTTCATACTTTCCTGCATAATCATAATAAGTCAAGCAACATGTGTAAAACATGGATAAAACAATAATATAAAAATAAACTGATATTAATTTAGCATACACTTAGGATAGAATCTGATTAATTATCTGAGATATAAACATTACAATTGAGTATTGAAAATACCTTCCTAATTTGATATATTTGTGCAACAATTTTAATGCCCTGGAGCCTAAAGGACAGTCCACTTTTACATCAAACTTATTATTTGACCACGTTTCATCAGGGGGATTGTAATCACCAAATAGGTAGATCTTTCTCTTTGAATACTTTCAAAATCATACCATCAATGGCTTTGATATGCCCATTATATATGACATAGGTTAACACCAATGATGAATTGCATATTATTAATTGCATATGCGACAAACATGTTCTTCATATGATTTTACTCAAGTAAAATTTGAGAGGAGAATATAGAATTTTTATTGTTCTATTTTATGAATGGACTGACCCATTACTTGATAAAAAATAACAACACTATCCATGATCTGTGTAACTGATGACTTGTTTATTTTGTGGAAATTCATGATCACTTTAATGAAATGAATAAAAACACTTTTGTCTAATTTCCACTAGTTAGTTTATTTTTACGACCAGTTTAGGGCTTTATCTCATTATTAAGTATAAAACGTGAGTATAAGTGAGTGGGTGTGTGAGTGAGTGTAAATAAAATAACTAGTGGAAATTAGACAAAAGTTTTTTCATTCATTTCATCGAACTATCCATGATTATAATTTATCAATTTTTACAAAAAAATTTTATTCTACATACATCTATTTATAAAAAATGAAAATAACTCACCTATCTTTTTAGCTGATGTAACTACAACCTCGTTTTCAACAGCCACTTCAGTCTTTTTAGGTTTTTCTCCCTTCTTTACAGTTTCAAAACTTATTTCTCCCATTTCTTTCAATTTTTCCTTGATATCAATATCATATTCTTCTTCCGCAGCACTTTCTGCAGATGTGGAAGGGACACTCTGCGAAGGAGCTTCCACCTGCTCAACTAGTTTTTCAAAAAATGAGGCGCTACTGCTGGCCTCATCTTCAGAATAACTTGGAAGTTGGGACTGCTGGGAGTTATCTTTGTTTATAGGAACTGGCTTGGTGTTCAATACTTCACTGGTATTCAATTCATTTAATTCACCTTCAGATTCATCCAATTCTGAATCAGTATCATAATCTGATATTTCTGTTTCGCTAAAATTAAGATTCAAATCTTCACCTTTCTTTTCTAACCTAACTTCGCCAGAATTGAATTTAAATTTTTTCATTGTAACTTCTGATGGTGGAAAAGGTCTTTTCAAATTTGGAACTGGCATTTCATCCTCACTTTCATCTTCCATATCACTGTAAATTTCATCTTTATTCTCTTTAAGGGTTTCCAAAGGACTACTGACATTTTGAGGTCCCACTTTGGGTTCTTTTGGCTTTTCAAGTCTCTGAATGGTAACATCTCCAAATCTCTGCAATACTGGATCCATCACGTGATCTAACAGTGTTTTGTTTTACATAGGCACCTTATGTTTTTCTTTCCATTCATTCATCTACTTTTTGGTGATGTTTTGTATACATCCACATTTGAATCAGCCGCCATGAATAAATCTTTTGGGACCGGTACAGATCATCTTATAAGAAAATAATATTAACTAATCGAGTTATCTGACGATAGTTTTGTTTCTTATTTGGTGATTCCGATATGAATTTGTCATTGTACAAATCAGTGCTTTCCAAGATCTTGATATGATCACTACACAGGTCACTAGATACACTGTAGTTCACTTCAGTTATTTCACGTACTTCCGTAAATGAAATGTGTCTCTAGATGAGTTTTATCTAATAATACTGAAAATATTCACTGAAATCCAAGGACTGATCAACATTAGTTGAATGAAATGAATATCAATAATCACCAAAATGGCATTGAACGACGAACGACGGCATAACTCACGACTGTTTCTTATTTTCGATAGGGTGCGCTTAAATCGAGTTTGTGAAATGCTAATTATTTGTATTGGAGATAAAAATTGCCAAAGTTATTGGAATAGATGAATGTGATATCTATAGCACCTCTAAAAATATGATGAAATGAAAGTGTAATATATATGAAGGTAGAACAAAATTTCAAACTTTGTTCGAACTTGGATTAAGTAAAAACAGAATTTTAAAAAAGTAAATTTGGAAAATAATTATTTATTACTCCTTTGGAAAATCCAAAACATGTTCCCTATGAATACGTTTGCAAAAATGTTATAGTTTAACATTTTCGAATTTGTCAACAAAGTCAAGAATCTCATTCTTGTAAAATAAAGAAATTTAAGCCAAGGGCGTCGATTCGGGTGGGTAAAGAGGTTATTACTCCATTACTCGTATTATACTTGTTCGGTCAATGCTCAAACTCTAATATAGCCACAGTCACAACTGAAATGAAGCGAAAAGACTTTGAAATCATATTTTTATAAGAGAATTCAGTATTATATGTTGGAAAGAAATCGGATGTCTTCTAATATTGACAGATTGTAAATGACATTTCACAAATGAGATGCTAGTGTTCTTAATAGTAATATCAATAGAAAGTTTTTATGCTGATATTGGGAATGAAAATATGTATCTATCTGATATTTTATCCCTCAACAAACATTTCTGAAATGGTGATTGTGGAGTAAAATATTTTTGAAAATAATATTCTTTTATCGGCAGTGTAGTGGTTAAATGCTCGGTTGTCGAATCTGGGGCAGCACACAATATCAAATATCCACATCATTTGTTGGAAACACTAAAGTTAATATCTTCATGAGAAGAGGCAGATTGACAAAAAACTTTAACGTTGCTTGATTGAGATAAAAAAAAGTGAAACAAAAGTACCTACGCCGATATATTGTAAAGTCAAGCTTTGACATTGACCGTCAAATAAGAGCCCGATAACAAGTCATTCGTGAATCAACACTGAAAATATCTTTTATGAGATTCATATATGACTTAATAAGCCTTGCTTATCTAGCAAGATGGATGATCAATGCCTTAGCTTGGCTTCGTCACAAATATTTGAAGTGTACTGCAAATTTGTTGGAATAATGGAATATTGCTTTGCGATTCGCAAAAATTGCGAATATTCGGATGAATGCATGTGAACAGGCCTTCATGCAACTAGAACTTAAAAATGTGAATGTAAATGTTTGATAAGAATGGAAAAATATAATGAAAACATTTTTTTATAACAAAATCTACTGAAATTCATTCCACCCTAAACTAGAGGCAAACATAAATAATGAGAGTAATTCTGAGAGTAATCGAACTCAACTACATTGAGTTCAGACGAAAAATAGAAAGGATAAATTGAGAAAACTATCAAAATGAACATGCGAGTAGATTGTTGTCTACAGACTATTCTCAAATTTGGGAATTTATTCTTTGAAATTCGAAAGGATTATATTTTCAGAAGTAGTTGATTTTTGGAAGAAATATTTTGTGAAGGTGTCAATGTAAATTGATGTTTTTTTGAGTTTTCAACCTTTCTCAATTTGGAAAATCAAAAAGTCTAGATCAACAGAGAATTTAATCAAGTGTGTTCAACGGTAAAACGTGAAATCATTGTTTCTATATACTATGGTTTTCAGTGACAATTTCATTTTGTTGTGTTTCTTGTTCCATGTCAGAACTCGAGGGCTGTCGACTGTCAGACCATGAAATATTAAAAAACTTTGAGCCTGAATGTTGGCACAGGCGAAGATAACAGCTGACGTTTGTTTTGATTTGATCTGACAGATAACCATTACTCAAGGTCGAACCACTTGATATTTTAATCAGATTTATATAAATTCAATGCTCAAGTACTGTCCTTATAATATGAGTTACTCCTCAGTGAAATCTGGCCCCTGACAACTGAATGCACAATGAAAATGGCTAAATCGGATTCAAAAGTGTGTGGTGTTTGTGGTGACAAAGCCCTGGGATGTAATTTTAATGCAATCACATGCGAGAGCTGCAAAGCCTTTTTCAGAAGAAATGCTTTGATACAGAAAGAATTCAAATGCCCTTTCAATAATCAGTGTGAGATGACAACAGTGACAAGAAGGTTTTGTCAGAAATGTAGGCTGGATAAATGTTTTGCCATAGGTATGCGTAAAGACTTGATCATGTCTGATCAAGATAAGGTCGCCAAACGCCAAAAAATCGAGGAGAATAAGACAAAGAAACGTAGTATAGGAGGCTTCAAATCTGGTTTCAAAAAAATGAAGAAGGAAATGGTGGAACCTGATTCTAGTAGTAACAGCATTTGTAGTTCAGAATATGACTTTAGAGATACATCGTTTTCAGGTAATTAATCGTTTCAACAGCTCGTGCTAGTTTTTGAAAAACTTTCTTGAAACTTACATATTTTTGTCAGACCTTGGTGTTTTGTTCTACTTTCAGAAGTTTGGCCTCTCAAAAATTAAAAGTGTCAAAAAATTGACTATTTCAGAAATTCACTTTTGGTAATGATAACTCGTAAAAAGACCCTTTTATTTTACGATTGCTTGTTATTTATCTTTATTCACCTGATTAAATTATTTTCATGCAATAAAATACTTGGATTTCACCCCAATAACCATTTTTGTAATCTTTTTCTATATGATGTCTTTGTTTCACTAGAGTTTCACTATTAATTATATCTTAAGATAAATAAAAAGTTTAGATTTTGAGAATTTCACTCAGGTTTGCCCTAGAATACATAAAAATCATCACTTTCCCGATATTTTTTTCTTATTTACTAACTTTTAAATAACGACTTATCATCAATTTAAGTTTCTTTCAACTGCAAATTACACATGGAATCAATTGTGGAAGCCACATTGCTGCCGATAGACTATCCTTTGTGAGGTATCTTGCATATCTGTCGGATATAATTCAATGTCCTGCGTGGCATTATCCGAGAAAGTAGTTGTTTTTCGGTAGGAATTTACTAGAGCCTACTGTGTAGGTACTTTGGGAGAAATGAATGTTTAGAGCTTCCATTTGGAAATATTTATTTTCTTAAACGTAGGTATGCATTTTTCCTCAGTACAGTCTTCAGACTCATTTTGATTCCTGTATAGTGTGATATTGCGATAGCCATTTTGGGTTAGGAATCTCAGGAGCAGGGTGAATGGTGGATGGCAACTAATTTTTTTGGGTCCCTTCATTTACTGTGATTTGGTCCAGGTATGTTCCGAATTTATCATTATGCTGATAGGCTGAATGTGAACTTGTAGGAAGGTGTTATTTTAGGAGATATCATTAATGAAAGAGAGTTCCTGAAATAGTCACTTTATCAAAATCGAGTGGCCATATCTCCAAAAGTAAACGGAATTGCCAAGTTTTGGCATCAGGTTCAAGTTCAGTGAACAGAAATATGTAAGTCTCAATTGAAGTTTATACCTATTTACCCATTTCCAGATCAAAGTTGTCAGGTCAACAGCCACAACAATGTTAGTGTCATAAATCAGTGTTTCGGAACTTCTCTGAAGAATTCTGATGAAAAGGTCCTCTCTCCGAATGAAAGACTTGTTTCCTCTAGTGATGATGTTTCCATAAGGGAGAATACGGTAGTGTATTCTGAATTTACTCATAGCCGTTGCGAAGAAACGACAATTCCAACAAACATTCTAGCCAATGATATTAGTTGCAACAAAAATATAAGTGGTAGGGATAATACATTTGGCTGTTTTCCTGGTATCTATAGCGATCCGCAAAAGACAAATTTGATGGAAGAAATTAACCCTAAGCCAAATCCTGTCACTAAGGAGGAAATTAACAGTAAAAGGTAAATACTCTCTTATTCTTATGTGATATCAAATTTAATAATCAATGATCGATTAAAAGACAAAATAAGAATTTATTGGTGTTCATAATACAATATAGTAAATAAGTTGAAAAGACAACAAACATAGTATGTTTTGACACGTCGAACAAAAAATTCACACACTATTTAAATTCACATTAAAAATATAAAAGAAAACTAGCTACAAAGGTGCTATTTCATTAAATTGTTAAATTTTCCAAACTGTGCCAAAGACATCATTTATTTTGTAAAATGCTTGGCTTACAAGTGCCCACTTCACCTCAAATTTAAGTTTTTTAATTGAAGAGTTTTTCCACTCTTGCAGAAGAGTATTATATATTTTGCCGTAAAATGCTTCGGATTGTTTTTTAGTATTCACCAAATTCTTTTTAGCTGTTCTAATGATCTCTTTGCTTTTGGTATTGTATTCGTATATCATTGCCCCAGTAGTGTATTCATCTTTATTTTTATGAACGTATAATATAGCTTCAAGTATATATAAACATGGGAAAGTGAGAATCTCCATATTCATGAAATTTTTTTTTGCATGATCACAGTAGTATGCTCTAACTAACCATCTCTCTAATTATTTTTTCTGAGATATAAAAACTTCATTTGCTGCTGATACTGAACCCCAAAGTAATATCCCCTGCTGCAAGTGAGCCTGTACTATACCAAAATACGCAATTTTGAGAACATATCTGCATACCATACTCCTCATTCTTGATGGAACTATAAATGAATAATCATCTGCATAAAGAAATGTGTCCGCAATGTCGACATATATTGGCAAATCATTTATATACAAAATAAACAGAAGAGGACCTAACACGGATCCTTGGGGAACTCCATGATGGATTTTTTTTTTAATGTTAGATGTTATGTTGTTATGAATAATATATTGTCTTCTTCCGGTTAGGAAAGATTGCAACACTTTTAACGCTAAACCTCTCATTTCGTATTTTACCAGCTTATTTAGAAGCATGTTGTGCCATACACTATCAAAAGCTTTTGACAAATCACATAACACAGCCCTGGTTAATATTCCCGTCTTTATTTTTTGCTATAGTATGAAATGCCTGGTACTGCTTGAGTAGACAAGTGTAACTTTCTGAAACCATACTGTCTTTCGTTGATATATCCTCCTGCTTCAAGATAATCAGCGAGTCTGTCTTTTAACACAATTTCGATAACTGTTGACAATACGTGGGTTATTGTAATGAATCTATAATTATTACAGTCATTTTTATCACCCTGTTTGTGGGTGGGTGTAGATCATTCCTTCTACGGCAAATTGTCCTTGATTATTGAGTGGTTCTGCTATCAGGACATCAATCACCGTTATTATTGTCTGGATCACCTAAGTTTTCATCGATGGGTATGTTTGCATCCACACACATATTGTGTAAAACAGCACATGCCTTCAACAAGTTGGTTACAAAATCAGGATTGTATCTCAAAGTACGCTCCTTCAAAAGACAGCGAAATCTCATTTTTAGGATGCCAAAACATCTTTCGATGCAATCCCTTGCTCTAATGTGGGCATGATTGAACCTAGATTCGGGACTATTTTCAAGGGGGTTTTGAAAATGTGTCATTAGAAATGGCTGAAGTGGGTAGCCAGAATCTCCAATTAACCAACTTGTTCCCCAGATTCGTAAATTTCTTGCAAATAATTCTTTATCAATGAGTGGTTTCATATAAAAGAGTGGATCGTTCACAGTTGGCAAAAATATTATTTATTTCCATACGGTGATCACAGATAACTTGGCAATTCAGAGAATGGAAACCCTTTCTATTGATGAAATTATGTTCATAGCCAGGTGGTTTGTTACTGGGATATCAACTGCTTGAAGCCATGACTGTATGTACGTGGCGACGACACCACTTGCTCTTAGTTGATTGTTCCTGTTTTTTTTTTGAAAAAACAATCGTAACCTTTGAGAATGTGATGATTTTAGTACTTCAAATCATCTAAAAAAACAATTCGTTCAGGCCAGTATCAACACCCTAAACAGTAGGTTAATGGACTGATACCTATCAGAAAACAACTACTCCCCTGCTAATACCACGAAGGACGTTGGATTATATCCGACAGGTGTCAGTACAGGATTCTTCACTGAAGTTATTCCTGCATATGCTGTTGGCGATACAACTGCCGCAATAGATTTTTAATTATTGGAACACACTTGCAGACCGGTTTCGGGCTGTTACCTCGTTCACAGGCAGATGGGACGTTGACAAATATGTTATTTGTTGCCCGCTTCAGCCTAGTTCGAGGAATGATCCTCTGAAGGAATTCGATTTTCAATTATCGGATATCTCTGACTTTATGTTGATGGTAGACACTACCTTACACTGACGAGTGGCCAAACAGCCCGAAACCGGTCTGCAAGTGTGTTCCAATAATTGAAAATCTATTGCGGCAGTTGTATCGCCAACAGCATATGCAGGAATAACTTCAGTGAAGAATCCTGCACAGACACCTGTCGGATATAACGCAACGCCTTTCGTAGTATTAGCCAGGGGAGTAGTTGTTTTCTGATAGGTGTCAGTCCATTAACCTACTGTGTAGGGTGTTGACACTGGCCTAAACGAATTGTTCTTTTAGATGATTTGATTCAAAGCCAGTCTTCAAGTATGCCCACTGACTATACCTGAAAAATTTTAGTACTTGAAATGTGTTTCTTGTAAACATAATACAGATGGGTTGTGGTCGGAAATTAAAACTTTTAGCATTTCTTTTTGGGTATCAAACCCATTCATATTCCATTGTAGAATGAAGATGAAGAATGACTATCATTAATTGACTTCTTGGGAGGATATTTCACTTTCGGTTTCAGAGGCTCCCACTTCTTCTAACTTGAATCGGTTAGTAAGCCTTTTTCTGTGATTTTATGCTCCTATCTTGAAAGTGTGGGTTTAATACCAAAATCATATTGATGAGACCTTGTATATCGTCTGTGTATTGCCTTGCAACAGTGAGGTGATCTTTTGTCCCGTAAACATTTTCTAGAAAGTCTCTAAGTTGATTGATTATAAGTCATTACGAAATTTTTTGTTTCAATGGTCGGTTGGTAGCCAAGCGGTTCGGCGTGGGTGCTTTGTTCACTCACTCGAATTGACTGCCGTGTTGGTCGGTGGTTCAAGCCCTAGTCTGAACGATCGATCTTCACTTGCTATCNAAAGTCTACACAAATTATTATATTTTATAAAATGGTCTTTTGATTTATATATTTCAGTCCACTTGGAGATATTTTGAACCTACGATTATGATGCCATGGAAATTTTGATTCATTCCAAAAGTTAATCTGCTATGAATGCAAACTGTTTTTTGTATCCATACACAGCATTGATATCTTAATGGTAACATGAGTTAGCTCGTATTAAGAAAAAATCTTGGTTTTACTAAATTCAGAAATTCCTTTTATATCCTCAAAAATTCCCTATGTTTTAAGGAAATGTGGTTTCTCGATTTTTATTCATTGAATAAGATGTAGCAATGCATTGATTACACAGGTGTTCATTCGATATCTAGATTATGTACATTTCAATAACTCCCTCTTATCTTTTGCTTACACGTTTTATTTCCAGGTATCTTCAAATCATTTATTCTGCTTCGTAATGGCATACTTTTTACAAACATTGAAGACATCTGACTGTTGTGGTTCTCTTCTCAGTGTGCGTTGGAATCTAAGACAAAAATATTGTGGTTTTTGAAACATCTACTCTTTCTACATAGTGCAATCGATAGTTAGGATGCTTACTTAGTTGACTGGACGTCAATGAGATTTTTTGATCAACATAAATGGAAATGGAAATGACACAAGTATTCAGTACCTACTTGAAGCTTTATAAGAATCAAACAGATTTTCAACTCACTACCTCTAAGGGGCACCTTTAGCTTAGGTGTGTCCCACGAATCAACATTTTTAGTGCCAGTATAAAATAACCAAGTCTACAATGATAATAATAGTAATAATCGTTATTAGCCATTTCTTTACTTTATGTAGATATATACAGGATGTATCAACGACATTTGGGTGGACGATAGCTTTTCCTATAAGATACATAAAAAATGTTACGGGAAAAAGTTGTAGAGAATAATGAAAGCTGTGTTTTTAATAGTTATTACTAATATACAGGGTGTCTAATGAATGTGTGACAAACCAAACTTATATTTTTTTAAATAGAATCCTCCACATATTTTCACTCGATTGAATTTCTTGTTGGGGTTTATACCTGGTGGTTCAGAAGTTATAGGGAAATTTACGTCAAAAATAGAGATCTCCTACTCGATCAAATCAAATAGGTGAGTTTTTGTAACTATCCTTGGGAATAGTGTATTTTCATTTCGTCTTCATAAGTTTACCAAACGGCGCTTTTTCTATATAGGGGTAAACAAAACTCGGGATCACTTTTTTCTCAGTTTTTTTCTCTAATGGAACACCCTGTACATGGGACCATCCCAAAATAGTTCACACTATGAGCCTTCAGAAAACGTAGGGTTTGACTACCTCATTTCCATCAGAAATGTATCTAATTCTTGAGGAAAGTATAAAAAAGTCATTGAATAAAAGCAATAATGTTTTTTTATTCAGTGCTGACAAGTAACAAAATAAAACAAACCATTTTGAAAACACACAAATTTACAATAGATGTTTGAACAATTTTCCATTTTGAGCTATGCATGAATGTAGTCTGTCAACAGTTTCCCTTCGAACTCCAATTGTAATAGACTTCACGTCTTTTGGTATCTTTTTTTTTCTGACTGATTCGGCCGTTACTTGATGAAGATCCATAGTAATTTCAAAAACCACACTTCACGATTTGATCTCCACAAACTTTATTTGAAAAATATATCATAACATGTTTTGCTAGCACAGTAGCTTTGTCAGAACCATGGTAACTTCCAACCAATATTCAGTCTACGGAATTCATATGACTAAGACTTGATCATGTCTGANAACTTACAATATCATGTAAAAACCGAGAAAGAATTATTATTGATGTAGATGTGAGGTAATATGCTTCAGGTAATCATAATTGAACAGGTACCTTGGGTAGAGGTTTAGGTAATTTTTTGGAGGTAGTCTCAATTATGGTTACCTGCAGTATATAAATATTAATGTAAGAAACAACTTGAAGTATTCAAATCACTTGACAAAGCCTCTGTGCTAGCGAAACATGTTGTGATATATTTTTCAAATAAAGTTTGTGGAGATCAAATCGTTAGGTGTAGTTTTTTAAATTCTTTTGGTATCGTTGGTTTATCTTGATAGACGTATCCTTCAACATATCCCCGTCTGTAGAAATCTAGGGGTGTGAGGTCTGGGGATTGTACTAGCCAATGTATGGGTCCATTTCTTCCAATCCATTCATTTCTACGCCACCTGTTCAAAAACCTCCTCACCCGATTTTGGATATAGGGAGGCGCGCCGTCAAGTTGGTAATATAACCTATGTCTTGTGTTAATCGGTACATCATCCAAAAAATTTGATGAAATCATTTCGGAGACAATATCTATAAATTTCTCCATTCAGAGGCCCATCAAAGAAATATGGTCTTATGACCTGATCCCCAATCATCTCCCCAAACATTAATTGACCATCTGTTTCGGTTATCAAGTTCTCTCATCCAATGGGGTTTTCTGTTGAGTGGTAGTGCAGATTATGTCTCTTTACCATGCCAATTCAATAAAATGTAGACTCGTCAGAAAACAAAACATATTTCAAAGTATTCGCTGATTGAATTCAATAAATTTTTCCAATACCAAACTCTGGTTCACAGAAGTATGATTTTTATCCAACTCTTTTGCAATTTCCCTCGCACAAGTACTTACATGAGGATGTTCAACTGTTAAAAGCATCAACATATAATTCATTTTCTTCAATTGTTGCAGTTTTATTTACTAGTTTACTATATATAAAAATGGAAAACCTGATAGGCTAAATAACTACAGGCCCATATCACTGCTAAGTGCCCCCTCTAAAATAGTGGAGAAAGCGTCAGAATAGTGAGATTTATTAATGCTTTGACTCATATCAATATGGCTTTCAAGAAAAAAAAAGTACCCTGAGTGCACTATGTCGCACTATGCACTATGTCGCTTCTGAAATGAATAAAAACAAATATATAATAACGGTATTTGTAGATCTCAGAAAAGCATTTTATACTGTGAACTGAGCAATAATGAAAATCTATTGCGGCAGTTGTATCGCCAACAGCATATGCAGGAATCTTCAGTGAAGAATACTGCACTGACACCTGTCGAATATAATCCAACGCCCTTCGTGGTATTAGCCAAGGAAGTTATTGTTTCCTGATAGGTGTCAGTCCATTAACCTACAGTGTAGAGAAACTGGCCTGAACGAATTGTTCCTTTGGATGATTAGATCTCAAAGTACTTAACACTGTTATATCTCCTGATATCAGCATTTATTTAGTATTATCAAATCACCCCAAAAAATCATATTTCCTGTTACAAAATTACATCGAAAAAAATATAGAGGTAGGTATACAGTATTAAATGATTGCATTCAAACTATGACATAAGTCTACCAATAATCTCTGTGGCACTTGTTGACAATGACAATTTTCATCATGTTCCGAGAGATCATTGACAAATACTATAAAGCGTTAAGAACCCAGCACCGATTCTTGAGGAACTTACAATATCATGTTATATTCTTTTGACAGGATATTGGTGAATAGAATTTTCCAGGAATAACAGAAACGTATGAAGCGTTCAATTTGGAACAATCATAATTGATGAATACTTGAATATCTTCTACTAAGTCAGTCACAAAATTTAAATAGCATAAGACTGATTCCTTGAAAATTATAAAGTTATCCCTGACACTTTTTCAGATTATCATCAGGAGATTCATTTCCGATCGAGTCGATTCTATACGAGGCGATAAAATTGGAATATGGAACTCTTTCCTCTCTGAACAAAAACAACTGCAGTTCAAGGAACCTCAACGATGCCGAGAGAGCGAAATTACACGAATTGATTGTCGCTCATAAAGAATTTCTTCCACCCGTGGATGACGAACTGAACGATCTTCTCGGCAATGAAAGCAAACTCGAGGTAGGTCTTGATGCAAAACGAACACTTTTTCCAATCACCAGAAGTGCAATACTCTTCTCGACGCGCGTTGAATCAATCAAATTGGCGTCTTCACCAACCAGTTTTCTTGGAAAATGATTGGGAAAAGTGCTTGTTTTGGAGTTTCTCTTCTACTGAGGTTTCAGTTTTACTTTTTATTTAAGTAGGTCATGATATCGATTGGTTTTTAGCATTCTTTTTCTGAGAGCAATCCTAAGTTTTTTTTCATAAGAGTTGAACATTTTGAATTTCTTTATATTCGGGGTATTTTTTAATAACATGCTAACGCAGGGTACAGTACTATGACCGTCGGTTAGACATACCGTTACGTTTTTCCCCGTGGTTTACCAATAATTGACTACACTGTATTAACCTCAATTTTATTTCACTATAAAAGTTACTAAACACAAACAAGATTACTTCAACAGCAACAATATTCTTTAGGAATTGCTCCTCCAATGGAAACAACCAAATTCCACTGATATCTCTTAACATCCAATCATTACGTGATAAAATTGATGAATTGTACATATTTTTATAGTAACATGATATTCCCACATTGTCTCACTGTCCGTGCACTGACTGAAGAAAGGTTAGCCAGTCTACTTAACTGATTTCACAACCATTACCAGATTGAGATCAACGTATGGAGGAAATATCATTTTCATTTAGAATTCAATGTGTTAAAATATGTTTTTGCCTCAACCAGCTGTCGCACCCCCTACGAACGACAACCCTCAAAAGTCTCAACTTGTGCGAGGCAAGGATGAACGAGGTCTTACTTTTTAACGTACGATTCCTAGCACGATAGGTAGTAAAAATCGATCGCCCGGCCTTTGTGCTCGAACCACCTAGCGTGAATGGAACAAACCACTCACGCCAACCCAATCGGCAACCGTGTCATAATAATAGTAATAGTAATGATGACCACTTACCCGAGCAAATTGTGCAAAACCGGTCCGCTAGCCCAGGCGCATCCGAGATATGGAGAACTCATTTCTCCCTCCAATACCTACCATGGGTCTATTGGGCTAACCAACCGATAGTCTCAACACTTGGTTATGGAAAATCAAGGAAGAGGCGTTTACAACCGAACCCCTTAGATTAGGGGGTCAAAGGCATAGTGGTGGGACCTATAATAAGGATTTGTCATCAGACGACTTCGAGTGGATGCATGAGCTAAGACATAACCTTATGCGTTGCTATGAGAGTAGTGAGTCCGCACGAAGAGGGTATATGGCCAGAATGCAGGGCGATTTCTTTAGTGTCCTTTATTTCTGCATCTAACTAATGTCGTTCATCCGATTCGCTCAAAAACACTCAAAGATGATATGGATGATCTCAAACTGTATGATCTCAAACTGTATGCTTCTAGCAGCATACAGTTTGAGTCCTTGCCATCAGTCATTGAGGATGGTGAAAGAATACACGCATGCTATCGGTATGAAGTTCGGAATAGACAAACGTGCAATGGTCCATTTCGATAGAGGAGGTTCCGGGGATTATGGAGAAGATGTGCAGCTCGTAGCTGGTTTACAAATCTGTAAACCGAAAATGAAACCATTCTGTATCCAAACACGTATCATAACATTTCCGATGGTTCGAAATACTTCCATCTACAAGCTACGAAGTTTCTCACCACGGACGAAATATGATGAATTGTGTTCCCGAATCAAATTCGGATCGAGACCCGAACAACAATTCATCATACTTTGTTCGTGAGAAACTACACCCTGCATAGTAGGAAATGAATTCGAGCAAGGTCAGTCTAGTTCCCACTTTTCATAATCAAGGCGTGTTTAGGAAATATAATTTAACCTCTCACTCACTAAGTGAATTTGTCCTTTCTGAATGGTGAATTTCCACAATGTCTGAAAGTTGAAAAAATCATTCCTACCTTCAAAAAGACATGCACAACTGATATGAATAACTATCGTTAGGAATCACACATTGAAAGGTAAGACCTCGTTAGTCCTTAGCTCGCACAAGTTTCTCAACTTCTGAGAGTTATCGTTCGTATGGGGGCGACAGCTGATTAACGGAAAAACAGATTTTAAACAGATCGTCCAATTATTGTAACATCAAGTTTCTCAAAAGTATTTGAGTACTCATTTCTCAACCGACTTTTAACATTTTTGTATAAATGCAATATCTTCACGGAATATCAGCATGGCTTTTTAGCTGGTCGTTCCACTAATACTGCTATTTTCGCTTTTTTTGAAAAGGTCATAGAGTTCATTGAGGCAGGCGAGTGCCCTGCTGGGATTTTTTGTGATCTCAGTAAGGCATTCATTCGACTGTGTCAATCATAATCAGTTAACATCGAAATTGTATAATTATGGATTACGAGGTGTAACATTAGAATGGATTTCCTCTTTTTTGAAACACAGTCATCAGTACGTATGTATTCCAAATATCCAATCTGAACGGGTTGGTTTTGTCAATTTAAAGAGTAAAGCCATTAATATGGTGTACCACAAGGATCGATCCTGGGACCTATTTTATTCATATTGTACTCTAGCAATCTGGATACATTTTTGAAAGGCATTCGTGTAACAATGTATGCAGACGACACGTCATTGATAATTTCACAAAAAAACGAATTTGATATGCAAAAAGATACAGAAAAAGCTTCAGGACTGGTGCAATACAAATTTTCTTCATTTGAACGCTCGTAAAACCCAAATTATACGATTTTATAACTATCAAAGAAAATACGATCCTCTCAAAATCAAGATGAGTGTTGATGTATCCATTGACAGTACAGATGAAACCAATTTTCTTGGGCTCTTTGTTGATGAAAATGTAAGCTGAAAACGTCACTGTACAAACTTAATGAAAATATTGAATTCTGTATGTTTCATGTTCAGGGATCTCAAACATATACTGGAAATACCTCAGCTAGTGGCTCTATACCATGCACATGTGTCACGAATTAGGTATGGAATATGTTTGTGGGGAAATTCCATTTTGGCAAAAAATGTTTTTTCTATACAAAAACGAATAACTACAAGATAAGGAAAAACTGATAATGAAAATTCCAAATTTTCATATGTTTAGATTCATGATCTACCAGTAAAAAAATATTTTTAAGAATCTAATGAAATCTTCCTTCAAAAATTCTTTGAGAAGATTTCACTAGTAATATTATTTTTCCAATAGGGAGATACAAATCTGAAGGTGGAAACAGATCCGACCCTGACGGACGTTATCAATCTTACCGCAATTTGCATAAAAAGACTGATAAAAATGGCTAAAAAAATTAATGCTTTCAAAAATATGTGCCAAGAGGACCAAGTTGCTCTGCTAAAAGGTGGATGTACAGAAATTATGTTGCTCAGGAGTGCCATGAACTATGACTCCAAAAAGAGAACTTGGCAGGTAAATTATTAGTTGATATAAACCAATTATTTTCAAAATGAAATATCTTGAACAGGTTTTGTCACTTCCTCTGTATTGAAAATATTGAATCGGTGAGGGACATTCAAAATTCAAACTAAGAACACTTTCATAAAATTTTCATAATATCTTCATTATAACTCACCTTCCAAATCATACTTAATTGTTGCAATTAAATGTAAAACATTCACGTTGTCGATACTTGAATACTAAGTTCATCTTCCAAATAATAGCCTGGTCAAGTTGGGCATGCAAGGCTACAAAAAAGCTAAAAACTGGTCCGAGTATTTGGAACACCCTTATAAATGAAATGTGAAAAGTCTCCATCGATCCCAGATCTGCAAAAAATATTATTGAAGGTCACTGTTCGCAAATATGATTTTTCGCGTTTTCAGACAAATGGTAAGTCATACATAAATTGTAGATCATGCAATTATCAAGAAAAATTTTCCCAATGCCGTTTTTGAGATATAACGATTCACAATGTTGAAAAAGTTGTGTTCTATCACATGTTTCATCGCTACCTGTGAAGTAGTATACTTGGCACTTTTTTTTTTCAACGTGGTTTCTCTGGTATGTCTATTTCACGATCTATTGTGATCCTGTTCAATTAAATACTATTTAATAATGAGTGATGATACTGTTGGAAATGATGAAACAGTGTGAATTCTTAGAAATCGTGCAAAGTTATTGTTTCATTGCTCTTGCCCTCATTGCCCTCTTCCTCTTCCTGCTGAGTGCAAGTGAAATGTTCAACAGCTATGCATCAGATGTCTCCTTGTTGGGATCGTACGACCCTCTACTCCCGAGCCGATGAACAAAACATTCCAACTTTTTGCATACACTTTTATCATTACATTCCTTTTCACAATCGCAATAAATTGTGTTGATGAGTTTTTCAGTTCCTGACAGGAGTAAAATCTGGATTAGTTCCGAAGTTTTGTCGATTAACATCCTACCCTAGACCTTTGGGTCTAATTGATTACCAAACCACAGTTGAACTTGATGATATAACCAAAAAAGATGTTGATGAATAGAAACAGAGGTTGGACAAGCTAATTGCTCTCGTTTTTTGTTCCAAGTATTTTCATTTGTATCAAAACTTATCAAAGCAGTTAATTTCTTTGAAGCTCGATAGATACAAAGAAGAAAGTGAATTCCATTGGTGATTACGACTTGTGGAGTATTGATGCCATTTTTATGAACTCCAACTCAATGAACTAGGTCTTGTTTTGCATATTCTGGACACTTTTGTTTTTACTTCTGAAAAATGCTGAGGTTGTATCATTGTATTTCTGTCATTGAGAATAAAATAATCATAAGTTTGTCACTTTGCAAAGCAGATAAACTTTTGGAAGATTTGGAGCTTTCCCAGGCTTTGAAAAATAAATGAATGAAAACAAGGAAATATTTCTTCAACACAGTTTGAGTGACCTTTCCAATCCCCTATAAGTTCAACTCTCATTAACTCCTTCGAAATTATAAACGATATTAAAATATATTTGCAGAAGGACATCATTTTTCATATTCCCTTAGTTTTTTTATTGAATTGATAAAGTAATGCTTCTGATGTTTTATAATCTTTTTCAACATCATTATATGAAATAGTGGTGATGATGTATAAAATGGGGGAGTGGGTTAAAAACATATTTTAGCTCCAGTGATCAATGTACGCGGTGTACTTATGCATATTATGAAGAACACAACATTTGAATCAATGTATTTCAGAAACGGCGACTCTCAAGAAAAAGCGCATAGGCAATTTTTCTACAATTTTTGTTTGACTATTTTCATGATCAAACTGTTTAATCGAAAAACGCAAAAACCCAAATTTGCGAACTTTGACATTTAATAATTTTTTGCAGATGTGAGATTGATGGAGATCTTAACCTTATTTTTGGGCTAACTTGACCGTGTTGTAATGTTGAAAGTAGTTCAAGATTTTTCAATGAGAAACTATATCACTTAATCATTAATTGAAATTGGCCAAAGGGAATATATACCAAGAACACGAACATTTCATCAAGACATTCCTTCCAAAATGGAGATCGGATGAAAACATAATCTTGATCATGTGTGCAATTATTCTTTTTACACCCGAGAGGCCAAAAGTGGTGCACCAGGATGTTGTTAAATTGGAACAGGTAGGGTAGATTTTGAATAACTTTGTTATAGCATATTTGTTCATGATACTATAAATTACACCGTATATTCTATGGTTACCCAGTGCATATCTAATTCGGATTGGAACATTCATGGACATAAAATGGACGTTTCTTAGTGAACATAAAGATGTGCCTATCACTGTAGACTTACTACTCTCAAATACTCTATGAATTGTGTGTGTTTGTTTTTTTATTTTAGTGTTTCATCAGATTCCTTTAATTTTTTGTTAAAATTCTTCTTACTTCGTTGTACCGAAGTATCATGAAGTTCACTTGTTTATATTCACGATTGTCTGCTAAAGATAACTCTTTAATGTTTGTGGATGAAAACACAGTGGAACTCTAAATTAACTTCTACTCTCACAATATAAACTTCAAATATGTTCAAAGGATATCTGCGAATGATATCTGACCAAGCGTCTTCAATTCATTCAGGTTGGAGCCCAGCTCCCTTACCCTTTTAGCTGATTTTTGTCGAAGAAGGACAAATGGGTTCATGACTGAGGGGATTTTGGCGGCATGAAGTCCTCAGACATCAGTACCGCCCTTGGTACCCCTACCTGGCTGGGGTGGGAAGGATGAAAAATCTATTCATCCATTAACAGGGGCATGAGGGTCTCATTCGACAGAGTGTCGGGGCCTTCTATATCAGGAGGGGTCGTCTACAGCATAGTCTATAGCTTCCCTAACTAACAGCTTTCTTAACTAACGAATGATATCTCATGAATATTCTCTAAAGATAACTTATGAATATTCTAGGTACACAGTGCGGACGTTTTGAATGAAACAAGATACAAGGTCGAACAAAATTTAGAACTTTTTGTATTGCGTCACTCGTCACCGAGAGAATGCTAGCAAATTATTATTCAAATAGAAAGGGGGGGTCTTGTGATAACTTGTTTGATCGGTATTTCAATTTTCTATCCAACATTTTTTCATTTTTCAAAATCATATCGGCTTTTCTGAGTAGTTAGCAGTTTTATATTAATTTCAATGATTTACAGATACATTTTAGGTTGTTTCGTTTTAATGTCATGTGTTTTTGTAGCTCCATATCTCAACAAATATTTATTCTACTGTGTCGTGGTATTTACTGATAGATAGAGAATTTTGTACTCTATATATTGATGTTTTTCGTTTTTTTCCCAAATTTTAGTGTTTTGCCTCTCTTCAGCTTAATGCTATATGATGTCATTGAGCGATTTTCGGCCAATTTTTCTTTACGAATTCAAATTGAACCAAAGCGCTGCTGAAACAACCGGAAGAATTAACCAGGCATTTGGCCCCGAAGTGGCTCATCTTCGTGGCCTACAGAAATATAGAATGGGGATTTGAGAACCCTTGTGGAGACTCACCCATCACATACGGTGTGTGGGATGGCAGAAGAACTGGGCGTCAGCTCCCATGCGGTTTTTGATTGTTTTAAACTTATTGAAAAGGTCGAAACGTTCATAAAGTGGGTGCCCCACAATTTGAACGATCGACAGACATTGTAACTTTCGTGGTTTGTTCTTCTTTGCTTTTGCACAACCAGAAGTCCTATTGTGAGGAAATCGACGAAATGTACCAAAAATTGCGTCAGCAGCAGCCGAAAATGGTCAACAGAAGAGGTCCGATCCTGCTGCACGACAATGAACGTCAGCACGTTTCACAAATCACTGTCCAAAAATTTAACGAATTGAGCGTCGAAGTTCTGCCTCATCCACCATACTCTCCATACCTCTCGTTTGCAGGCTTCGATAACTTTCTCATCGGTAGAACCTTCGCCAATCAGGACCAGACAAAAACGGTCTTCGTCGACTTCATCTAATCCCGAACACGCAATTTTTTGCTGACGAAATCAATCGACAAAAATGCATTAATGTGAATGACGTTTATTTTGATCAAATTGAATAATTCTCACTGTCGTCACGTATTTCAAGTTGTCACAGACAGTTTGATGTAGTGCTTGTGTTCTGTCATCTTCTTAGGCCGTCGTTTGTATATCTTCCTGACGTTTGGCCAGCGCGAGTGATTAGCATCTTCAGAGGTCTGTGTTATCACTTCTAAGATTGAGGTACACTGAGGCACAGTATACTTATATACAGTAATCCCACTTCGGGTGATTTTTGGTTTGAATTTTCTACACGCAGACCCAGGAGTTCCAGACTCAGGTCTGCGCAAACGACGAGTTCAAGACAGGAACGCAACCCTTCCATAGTTGTCGAATTTCATGGGTTTCACCCAACCTACTGATTTTTTGTAGGATTGAACACTACACAATTACTTTTTTACTTCTTCAAGTCCCAAATAGTACTACATAATTCAAAAAGAATAGGCTCTACTACAGATTCTTAAATCTTGAGTGATGAATTCGATTAGGAATATTTATATATAATTGGCCCTTAATATAATCGAATCGGCAAACTCGTCCGCCATCTTGAATTCTCAAATCGAAAAATGAATATGCTATCCCATGAATTTTTAAAATCTACTTGAAACATAGTTCATCATTGTCCAAATGATCTGGGTTACTTGAATATTACACAAATGCAAAATTTGTACAATTTTCTCAGGTGCCCAACATGGTTTTCATCCACTGTATTTTTTGAGCAGTTTATATGAATAGTTGTTATGTTGAGCAGTGTTTAGACGCTTTGGTTGAGAGTGTAGTAGGGAGAAATGTCATTGAGTCAAATACGTCAGCATTGTAAAAACTGAAACTCCTGGACACAACATCAAAGGGACCGACGCTAAGTCGGACTACTGTATATAAGTATACTGTGACTAAGGTGTGTGAACTCCACTTTCTCTCTGGACTGTGTCTCTCTTATAGCCTGCGTCTAGTATGCCAGCGTACCCCAAAGATCTCTGAAAATGCTAACTATTCCCGCCGGGTAAACGTTAGGAAGAAATTCTAACAGACGACGGTCTAAAAGCCCGAAATCACAAACAGTATCAGGATATTTGTTTTGCTCATATTCACTTGAATTGATAGCATTGAATATTAAGCTCTTGTTACAATACTGTATAATTTTGAGTAAGTCGGTGTTAAGAAAAAAAAACTGAAAATTATTTTACTCTTACAAAATGCATCGTGGTGTGATGTTTTAATTACAGGATTTTCAAAAAAACGTTGCATACAAGATGTTGTCTATTGGGATACTTTAGGAGTGACACTGTATAAGTCAACAAAATATTCTATTTGATTCTTTATATACTTCTAATAAAACTAGTCGTGAAAAACCCTGTTTATCCCATTCTACCATTATTTTTTCATAGTTTCAGCATGTTACAAAATTTTAACACATATTTTTGTCGATAGTTTTCTCTCAGAGCAATAATTTTTTTTTTTAATAAAATTAGGAAATGATTCAAAGATTCCAGAAGAGTTGAATTTTTTGTATTACGCAATAAACAAGTCTTATAATTGACAAATCCTTGTCTTGAAATAATGGAATATGTTTTGGAAACAATCTAACTGAAGGCAAGTAAATTTTCTATATGTGCATGAGTAACACTTCCCGCTTCTTCACTAACAATTACCTTAGAACCTTCGCATTCAGTAATTCTACTAAGGCCAGCCTAAATAATCTTGCACATGCTTCCTATTCTATTTCTATAATATGTTACTATACTGTAATCAATTAATTTATTAATACAGAATATCAAGAAATCTTCCTCTTTTCCAGAACTCTTATTTCTACCTCTTGAAGAGATACCTCGAGAGTATATATCCAGGTTGTGAGGCGAAATCGTCTTTTTTAAAACTCATCCAGCAGTTGAGAAACCTGCATACAGTCAGTGAGGAACTGGTGAATGTGTATTTGAATGTGGATACTGCACAAGTGGAACCGTTACTTATAGAAATATTCGATATGAAGAATTCTTTCAGATGACTCATTTTGGAGGTTATACTGAGGCCAGTTTCAGAAAAGCTTCACCACAATTTTAGACGACTCATCCAGGAGCACATCTTTATGTTTTCCAGGATCACAGGATCGCTTTCTGCAATCTTGACAACATACTTTTTTTTTTCAGATAACTTGCCTGTGTAGTAATATGTAATATATTTTCTTTTTGGTTTTTGTTGAATTTATTTCATTTATTATCTTCTAGTTTAGGTAACAGGTTAGTTTTTTTTCCATCAAAAGTTTTACTATCGACCTATTGTATATAATATTCAACACCGCAAATAAAAACCCAAATCTTCATATAACTAAGTCCCTTGATTCCAATTATTCTCCATTCGTTTCTCTATTCCCAGCCCAGTCCTCTATACCTGTTGTAAATCTGTTCTAACAGCCTCTCTATAGTTGTGTCAAAGCTAATTACAAAGCAGAAACTACAATGCGGGAATTTGTCTCCGGTTTTATTTTATCATAGGTGGGTGTGACTTCGTTTCTCTTAATTAGATTAAATGATTTTGTGACAGGTAGCCAGATTTTATTGATGTTTTGCCTCTTTCTTTCGAAATTATTCCTGTGTTATATTGCCTCTCTATACTATATATTCTTGGATAGTAATTTTGAGTTTTATCGAGTATTAATGTATTTTTAAATGAAATAATGTGTCTTCTTTGAGAACATGTTCGGCTACAGCTGATTTGTCGGTTCGTCCTAGGTGATAACTTCTTTTTGTTCAAAGAGACGGGTACCTATATTTCTTTTCGTGGTTCCAATGTAGACCGACTCACAGCTACAAGGAACCCGGTACACCTGGGTGTTGCTAAAGGCTCTAGGGTCCTTAGCTGACCTTAGACTTTCTTTGATAGACCCCAGAGAGCCTTCAGCTTCACCGGGGGTATACCTCGTAGCTGCGGGTTGGTTCACATTGAAACCACGAATAAAAGTATAGATACCTGTCTCTCTGAACACGAAAGAAATTGTCGCCTTGGAAGAACCGACAAATCAGCTGTAGCCGAACATGCTCTTAAAGAAGGCACTCTCATTCGAAGATACAGTAACACAGGGATAATTTAAACAGAAAGGAAGAGGCAGTTAACAATAATAAAATCTGGCTACCTGTCCTCCATTGTACACAAACAACGTCAGACATAAAAGCCTGCAGACAACGGCCAAAATACCCGGAAAGTAGTTTCGACATGGTTACTCTGGCCATGAGAGTTTACATTCTTTGATCAGCCTCTATTTATTTTGTGCGTGGTTTTTCTTTTCGTCTGTTTTCTAATTATTCTGATTTCATTATTATTCATTATTACCAGAGGATTACATACCTACCTGAGGAGTAGGTACGTAATCCTCTAGTAATCTTTTAAAGTGACTCTGCCAACGAAGTCTTTGTCGTCTTATAATAGATGTAATTGATGGGCTGTCATACATTTCAAGTTTTCCACTTGTTGTTCTCCATTCATCTTCTTCTTTCGTCCATCCAAAAATTTGATTCAGTATTTTCATCTCCCATACTTCAAGTGTATTTTTGTTTTTCGGCGTTGTGATATGTATATCAGTATTAGTTTTTCCATTTCAAAAGAAAATCTAAGTTTCAAAAATGACTGACGTCATTACTATTGGGACTTATTCCCCCTTTCAAACCGCGTTCCAAAGTCTATATTATTTTTGTAAAGCAGAGAAAAGTAGGTACTTCTTGATCAAATATCTCTTTAACAGAATCGTAATATGAAGTTTGCAAATTCTCAACAAGCTGAATTTTTATACAGACCTCAAATACGTCATTATAAAAGTCCCAATCAAGTCCACGTGTGCATTGTTTTTTATTCGGGTCAAAAGCCACTAATTTTTGTTTTTTGCGTCCATCTCTTCTATAGTGAGAGCTACCAGAAAAATGATTCAGAGAAAGTTTGTAGATCGTAAAATTCTGTACAAATATTGTATAAATACGTTTTTCTTAGGAAGCACCGTTCTCTAGTTATCGGCGATTTCAGACTGTAGGAAAGTCGTATTTCCAATTATATGCACACATTCCCAAGCTACATTTTTAAACGTGGTTTTCCCCGTAAGAATACTGTACAATATATATTATGATCGAGGAATTGTAATCACTTGTTTTTTCTTTTCCACTCTCTTTTTCATGGCTCATTTCTTCCTCTTCTTGCTCGATTTGTGTGGATTATTCTAAGAAAGGCTATAACATTCTCATCTATTTCGCAAGTATTTTCATCTGCTGTATTCAGCATTCGTGCAAGAGTGGCGAACAAAACAACCCAAAATTGTTAATGTAGCCTTTCTTGCAATTACAAAAAATTGTTTTACCTATTTCTCTGGAGATGGTGGAAGAAAAGTCTTGGTTAGCTCCAAACTATTTTTCATCAATTTCCAGCCTGTCTTCAGGATTCAGCTTATTAGCCGATCAGGAAATGAAGTACTTAGTATGAAAACGCCACCTTGGTTGGTGAAACGCGCGTCGAGAAGAGTGTTGCAGTAACGGTGTTTGTGCTTGTTTTGGATAAAACGTACTATTTAGATATAAATTGGAAAACTTCAATACAGGCATTTTTTATGATCCGCTCAGTTGAACTGCAAATTGAAATTTGATTAAAATGAAGAAAAACTGAAATATTTCAGGACAACAATTCATTATTCTCTGATTATAGGAAGTTTGCCACAGTAACTTTGATCAATTTTGCTATTGAAATACCTTGCCAATAAAGAATTCACCTCATACAGTTCCGAATAATTAACCATACCTTTTGCGGGTACACTTTCCCGGGTCAGAAATTACAAATCTAACACCGGAGTCCTGGGCGAATTCAGAACTGGAGACCGCCAGAAGGGCATCCAGGTAGGACTGTCAAATGACAGAGAAGGTGATAGATCTGGAGAAAATTAAATGGGCTGTAAACTCATTTCGCCGGGACCTGATGGTATATACCCAGTAATGCTTCAAAAGGGACCGGAAGTTTTTTTCAAAAAATTGTGTGTAATTCTCAAGGCAATTTTAGCACTGAGACACATACCAAAAATTTGGAGACTGATCAGGGTCACCTTCATTCCGAAACCTGGGAAAATCGGACAGGACTCTGCGAAGGCCTTGAGACCAATTAGTCTCATGTCATTCGCATTGAAAACGCTAGAAAAACTACTTGACAGGCATATCAGGTACGTATCACTGGCTATCAGACCATTACATCGAGACCAATATGCATACAGGTCAGGTATGTCAACAGAAACGGTTCTATGTCGGGTAACAGAAAAATTAGAACAAAATCACAAGAACAGGGAAGTACTTTTAGCAGCTTTCTTGGATATTGAGGGCGCATTTGACAATACGTCGCTAGAATCAATCATCCAGGCGTCGAGGAGAAGAGGGATCGACAAGACAAGCTGTAGGTGGATAGACTGCATGCTTGGGGGAAGATTGGTATATACAACCATTATGGGGGAAACAGTCGTGGCACGGGTATCAAGGGGCTGTCCTCAGTGGGGGGGTTTATCCCCTCTATTTTGGAACCTTGTAATAGACGAGCTATTATGTCTCCTGGACCACAATTGGTATAAAGTACTGGGCCCTGCAGACGACTTAGTTATCTTAGTCCAGGGTAAATACAATAATGTAGTGAAGGAATGCATGCAGCAGGCCCTGAATATTATAACAAGATGGACCGAAGAAGAAGGGCTTAACATAAGCCCATCCAAATCGACCACAGTAGCATTCACCAAGAGGACTGAAACGGAGGGTCTCGGACCTCTGAAACTTCCAGGTGAAGAAATAACCAGACATGGTATTTTGGCTATACATGATGGTCGTTAAACCCGTGATAACATACGCATCTCTGGTCTGGTGGCCAAAGATGAAGCAAGCGACCGCTATCAACAAACTACGCAAGGTGCAAAGACTTGCATGTACCTCCTTTACACTTTGTGATAATGGGGGAAGACAGGATGGGCCAATTCAGACTGGAAAACTCGCCGAACTACAAAAGATCGAACCGAACAGAAATTTCGGAACATGTAGAGGAGCACATATTGAATATGCACGGACCACATGACACCGAAGTACACCTTTAACACAAACTTCACGGCCAAAATCATAAGCCGTGAAGAGTGGAAAACCATTAGTCATCCCGAAAACATGTTTGGAAAAAACACCTGGTATGCAGATGAGTCGAAGACCAAACATGGAACGGGAGCTGGAATATACCGAGCGGATAGAAATTTAAACTACAGTTATCCGCTAGGACTATACACATCCGTCTCTCAGGCGGAAGTGTATGCTATCTTGCAGTGTGCAAGGCTCATTATATTGAGATTTCAAATAAGAAGCACACAGAGTACAGGACAAACGTACCTGGCAACAAACACAGTAGAACCTTCATTAGGGAACCGTCCGAGAAAAGAACCGAAGAACTACCTCAAAATAGTAGGGATCGGCTCAGAATAATTACAGGGTTACTAAACGGTCATTGTCCGCTTAGAGGACACCTGAATGAAATGGGGTTGTACAACGGAGACCTCTGCTGCAGATTATGCAATGAAGGGATAAAGACAGCTCTACACATCTTATGCGAATGTGAGGCACTGAATCACAGGAGGCAGGCAATATATGAACGTACAAAATTACGTCCAGAAGAATATGACGAACATTCAACACGGAACCTGTACAAATTAGTACAGGGAACGAGACTGATGGAATGGGTGTTATGAGAAGATGGGAGAATAAACGAAATAAGCCCTAGAGGCTGCAGTGTTTTCTGGAGACTTGAACTAAATGGACAAGTCAGACAGCTCCCAAGGTACAAAAAAACCATGCCTTTTATGAAACCTCGGTAATCTTTATCTCGCACAAGTACCACTTTTGAGGGTTGTCAATCGTAGGGGGGCGACATCTGGTTCACATATCGCTTCCACATTATTTCTGCCGATTGTATGTGAAAGTCTAAGTTATGAAATAAATGTATATTTTCCTGTTTAATCTGTTGTATTAAATAATGCTATTCCATTTCAGCTTTCGGATTTCTTGACATTGTTTCTACCATTGCCTATGTTTAGCATAGTATCAAGATAAAAGGAACTATGCGTTTAGTAAAGTGATACCTACTTAAATTTGGTGCATTTGAAGAAGATACTGCCCATACAGCGTTGGAATGTATTGTGGGTTGCTTAATATAAAGAATGATAATTATAATTCATTTTTCCTCCTAAATGTTTACTTTTTCCGCAGTGCTTATAAAAACACATTTTTTTTATAGTGTATTTTTACTCGAAGGTTGATAATTTAAATTAATTTTTCCTCCTAAATGTTTTAGTTTTTCTTGGGTGTTTATAAAAACACATAAATTTTTTATATGCTGTATTTTCTCCTCGAGAGAATTCAAGTCAATCAACCTTAGTGATTTCACAATTTGGAATTGGCCGCGGTGGTAGTTCGCC